AAAGTAATTGCTGTGTACTTGTCGCCACGGACAACTCTACAGATGTAGTGTATATCAACAGGAGGGGGGGGACCTTACTGACCTCACGATAGACCTTACAGGGCTCAATTTAGTTCTTTGCAACTTGCACTGCTGCATCCCAGTATTACAAAATGCAACCTAGTTATTAGTCTAACTTGCACCAGGTGCAGGTCAATTTTAGAGAAATAAATCAACAATAAATCAAACATTGTGAGCACAATTATGTCAGCTCATTTTTCATCTAAACTTTGAATAGCTATGGCACCGAAACATTGCTATTTATAGACACTGCTCGGCTGTGACAGCTCTTGTAAACAGGGATCAGCTGTGTGGCGGTGTTGCTATGGTTTCAAGGGTACTTCGTCACAGAAATATGTTTATGTGCACTGATACCTCTGACGTATTAACACACTACGTCATCATTTTAAGTGATAGTTAACAGATTTATCGCACATGGCTGTGTGAAACACTAAGCCTCCTGTCAACTTTACTTATCCATACCGTGAATGAATATAACCATGACGGATAGCAAAAGTAAACAGACAAGCATTAACGCATTTTTCCTGAAGAAATCAAGTGAAGATGCTGACAAAAGTGGTAAACAAAACTTGGAAACTGAGAAACGTGCCGATACTAACATGAGTGATTCCATTAACATTGCCTATGCGTGTGGCAGTTCGGGGTCGGGTGTTAAAACTACAGATGATGAATTGAAACGTAAATCCAACCACAAGCAATGCAAATAAAAATTAAGACTTACAAGTTTAAAGAGGAATGGAAAAAAACAGGGACTGGTTACATTATGATGAGATTGAAAATAGCATGTCTTGTGCCACATGTCAAAAGTATGATAAAAGGGGAAGAAGTAATTCTTTTAGGAGTGGGTCAATAAGACTAAGTGTGATAGAAATCCACCAAACTAGTGAGGTACACCTCCGATCGGAGGCCCATGAACTAGCACAACTGTGCAAAAATAAATCAGTTTTGCCATTGGAAAAGATAGTTCTTAAAATGCAGGAAAATCAAGTTGACACCATGAAGATTTTATTCATAGTAGCATACTGGATAGCAAAAAATGAAAAACCATTGACAGATTTCTCCAAAATGCTTGAACTTTTAGAAATACTTGGAATTAAATCAGGCCAGACATACCAAATGATAAGAAAGCAAGAGAATTTATTGGCCTCCTGAATCTTTTCGTCAGGAAATTGTAGAACTTCGGACAGCTGAATTTTTTTCAGTATTATGTGATGGGTCAACAGACTGCAGTGTTTTGGAACAAGAAATCATGTATGTGAGATACATTAAATTTGGACAACCCAAAACTGTGTTTGTGTATGCATCAAATGTGGAAAGAGGTGATGCTCTTCACATCAAAGAGGCAATCTTGAAAATGTTAGATGAGAAACTTGATTTATCAGAGGATGAATGGAAAAGTGGTCTAGTTGGTTTGTGTTTTGATGGGGCAGCTGTGATGATGGGGTGTAAGTCAGGTGTGGCAAAGAGAATACAAACATTAGCCCCTCATGTAGTTGCAATCCACTGCTGTGTCCACCGACTGGAACTTGCAGTTAAAGATGTCACAAAGCAAATATCCTATTTGGAAGACTTTGATGAAACTCTTATGAACTTGTACAAGTTATACAAGTACTCGCCACTGAGGTGGCAAGGACTAAAAGCAGCTGCTGAGGCACTGAATGTAAACCTTCTCAGGCCAGTTAGAATACTTGGTGTGAGGTGGCTCCCTCATTACGAGCATGCTGTGAAGGCTGTCTCTCAGTCGTATGAAGCACTGGCTGTTCATCTTCAGAGTGAAGCAAGAACTGGCAATAAAGACAATCAAGAAAAATCAAGATGCATACTTCTTTTGCTCCAGTCTCTGAAGTTTGTCATGATTCTTAATTTTCTCACAAGTCTTCTGGGAGTGATGTCAAAACTGAGCAAATCTTTTCAATGTGACAAATCTGGCTTGCACTCTGTACATGAGAATGTAGAAAAGACAGTTGGACATATTGAAAAGCTGACAGACAGAGAGAGACTTACTGAAGTCATGATGAAAGGAATTGAAGTGGCTGAAGGTGACAACCCAGAGTACAGGTTTCATGGGATGACACTTAGTGTACCTGAAAGGGGACTACCAAAGAAAAGAGGAAAGCAACCTGTGAAAAAATCTGAAAAAGAAAATGCGATTGAATCGGCAGAAATGATCATACAGAAAATGAAGTCAAATTTGGCATCAAGATATGATGTGACAGATGATGTATGTGGAGCATCCTACGTGCTCAACCCCAACAACTGGCCCAAGGATCCAGCTGCACTCAACTCTTATGGGGACACAGAGATCCAGCTGTTGGCTCAGCACTTTGACATGCCCTTGACTGCTAAAGGGTATGTTCCCGAAGCAGCAGTAGTGGAATGGCTTACTGTGAAGAAACAGATTGTGAGGATGCTCAGATTTGAAGAAAATCTTGTACAGGTATGGGAAAGGGTTTTGACAACTGAAAGGTGAAAACAAGGACATCTTAGCCCTGGTTCGAAGAATCCTTTCACTGCCAGTAAACTCGGCAATATGTGAAAGAGGGTTTTCCCTCATGAAGAGAGTGAAATCTGACTGGAGAGGTTCATTGAGGAGTGAGACTCTGACAGATCTGCTTTCTGTATCAGTGAATGGTCCAGCCACACATGATTACAACCCAGATGCTGCCATTGCACTATGGCTCACGAAGAAGAACAGGAGGATTGCTGCAGCTGGAAAGAGAACACAGACAGAGCAGGCATGGAGCAGTGATGAATCTGAGTAATGACAAGTGGGTAAACTTTGTAATAAAACATCTAAATGATTCAATAGCTTATTTTTTCATTACATGTTGCAATAAAAGCAGTGCAACTGGAATTTGGCTGGTGCAACTAGGTTTTTATCTTAGGGTGCACCTGGTGCAAGTAGGTTAACATCTCTTAAATCGAGCCCTGCCTTATAATCTCACAGAAGTCTCAGGAGCAACGTTCTGGACAGACATATTCTGGGGGAAATCACGTCATTGCAGATGCAATATCCCATCCGGACAAGATACTATCATATCCAGATGCATTCAGGCAAGTTTAGTGGGAACAGCCTCACATAGATGTGTTCATGATGTCACTCAACAACCAATGACCAACTTATGTCCAATTTTGGATCCACCAGCCGATGCTATGGATGTCATTTCGACTTGGGAATCATTTCCATCTACAGTGTTGATCATGGAAGTTTTGGCCAAGTTGAGGAATCATCAGATGACCCTTTACCTAGTGGCTGAAGCATGGCACACAAAAACATTTTTTCGAATCTTCTGTCTCTACTGGTTGATGAAGCTCTGCAACTGCCTATCTGACCAACTCTACTCAGGCAACCAACATCAGACAGATTTCATCACAACCAGGAGCACCTCCATTTACCTGTCTGGGAGCTATCCAAGTACAGCGTGGGTCAACAGGATTTTCACAGGTTTCCTCAGCTGATAGCAGTCAGAGCGAGCTTCAGCATCTGCCTTCTGTGAATGACAGCAGTGATGTCATCAAATGTACCGGATACCGAAAATGACATAAATCTACCATTATGTAAACTTCAGCAGCAAGAAGGATTCTCAAGTGTAGTCATTGCAACCAAATGCAAGTCTGTTTGTCTTATCAGTTTTCATACTGTCTCTATCTTATGTTTATGATTGTCTTCCTTAATTTTGTTTGGCATTATCTGCGTCCACCAAGTCTCATCTAGGATTTGGCAAATCAAGTGTGAGAAGGACATATTCATGAGAATTTTGAACAATATCAACACTGATAATAATTCTTAGAATACGACCTCTTACACTTGAAGTTATGGCCCACCCATACATTCCCCAGAAATCCCAGAGTACCTGCCCAAGGAACCTCAAGGAAACTAATGAAGTTTCCCTACACTCCTGCCAGGAGAGAATCCCAGCAGATAGCTGTTGTTGAACCACCAGGAAGAAAGACAACCCATACCTTTGCACATTTATTCAAGCTAAACGTGGATTCAGAAACAAGAGCGAGTATTCTACGAATTATTTTCTTTATTGATAATGTTCAATTTTGAAGGTTAAAGGATTTCCAGTGATTTGGTTGGTTTATTTGCTAATCACATGACCCGTTCATTTTTCAACAAACTTCCAAAAGTGATGTCTTCAAAGTATAAACTTCACCTTTTAACCATGCAAGTTAAAACAGCACTAGCTGCCACGATTTTAACTTATACTGTTGAAAGCATTCATATTTCAGAAAACTAACACAAGGAATTTTCATGCAATGATTGGTAAAAAATAGTATATCAAGCCATTGTTTTACCAGGATAGAAAATATGACTTACAACAACTAAATATGTCATTTATGAAATTATGACATAAGAATCCATTCTTTGTAAACTAAGGTCCATTCCAAGGCATCAGTAGTGGTAATGTTATTGTGGTTGCTGTGAATAATGTCATGGTGGGCAAATGGGCATTATGGAATTATGGTAAAAGGAAGTTGTAAGTATCAGAGGGAAACACCATTTCAGCATAATCATAAATATTAACTTTTTTGATAATATGTTGAGTAAAACTGTATAAATAGATTAGAAACAGAAATCCACATACACAGTGAACACATTTTGGGATGACAGAGTGTTTATCCAGGTTTGACATATTTCGGTTTGTGGTCCGGCTTATGTACCATACATACGATGTTGATACAAATTTGAGGATGAAGGTAGAACCTTGGCTCATCTATGAGATCAACACTTCAGAAAACTAAACATGCTGTATTGCTGAAACTCTGTATGATATTAGGTGTATGATTAGACTGCTCAAATAAATCCAGTCCAAATTTGAGCAAGGCTGCTATTACTTCTTCCTTTCTCATATGAGCAACAGAGCTCTGTGGCTCTAGTGTTTGGTCTGTGTATGTGTTTGACAAGTGTATTGTAAAACCTGTCTTTGTTGTAGATGTTCAACTACTTCACAGAGACTTTGGAAGTCATTGTTCAGAATGCCAAGAAAGAAGGAAGGTGAGGATGGTGTTGAGTGTTACATTTGCTTCTTTCTTTCATGACACAGAATAATTGATACAAGGACTTATTTCATTCTGTGACATCAACATGATAAGGCTAAAACTCACCATCAGTATGAGTTGACTGCATGGATTTGTTGCAATTTTTGTTGTCCTGTGGTTAACGCGCACTTCGTCTTTCCACGTCACCTTTTTATCTCCCCGGCATGTAATGCAGGGGGATATAGTCGACGCTTCGTCCGTCTGTAATCATTTTGTTTAAATACACGTTCAATATTTTTCAACAAATATTGGTCAATATATCAAACAGAACCTAAGGTGGTGCCTTTTGCTATTTACAGATTTTTGTCATTTTTAGTCGTCCCCTCGTCCGTCTGTCCATCCGTTCAATCATTTTGTTTCCGGAGCATAACTCAAAGACCGTTCGATATTTTTCAACAAAAATTGGTAGATATATCAAACAGAACCTAAGGTGGTGCCTTTTTACTATTTACAGATTTTTGTCATTTTTATTTTTCTCGCTTTCCATGGAAACGTTTTGGACTTAGTCTTAAAGGGAGGGGTAGGCTTCATTTCCGGAGCATAACTCAGAAACCGTTCAGTATTTTTCTGCAAAACTTGGTAGATATATCAAACAGAACCTAAAGTGGTGCCTTTTGCTATTTACAAATATTTGTGATTTATTTTTTTCTTGGTTTCCATGGAAACGATTCGGACTTAGTCTCAAAAAGGAGGGGTGGGTTTCGTTTCCGGAGCACAACTTGAAAACCATTCAATATCTTTCTACAGAACTTGGTAGATATATCAAACAGAACCTAAAGTGGTGCCTTTTGCTATTTACAAATATTTGTGATTTATTATTTTCTTGGTTTCCATGGAAACGATTCGGACTTAGTCTCAAAAAGGAGGGGTGGGTTTCATTTCCGGATCACAACTCGAAAACCGATCAATATTTTTCTTAAGACTTTTCCCGGTTTCCATGGAAACAATTCAGACTTAGTCTCAAAAAGGAGGGGTGGGTTTCGTTTCCAGAGCACAACTCAAGAACCGTTCAATATTTTTCAACAAAACTTGGTAGATATATCAAACAGAACCTTAAGTGGTGCTTTTGGTATTTGCAGATTTTTGTCATTTTTATTTTTCTTGGTTTCCATGGAAACGATTTGGACTTAGTCTCAAAAGGGAGGGGTGGGTTTCGTTTCAAAAACTTCTTAATATCTTTCAGTAAAACTTTGTATTTATGTGAGGCAGATCTTGAAGTGGTGCCTTTTGCTATTTGCAGATTTTTGTCATTTATGTTTTTCATCATTTCCATGGAAACGATTTGCACTTAGTCTAAAATCAAGCTTGACTTTAAGTAACTGTCAGATGATTTGTTCTTTCAAAGATGTGGGGGCCGGGGGGATATGTCATCTTCTGATGACTCTTGTTTCATCTTTGCCATAAATTCTGTGGTTTGGCTGTCAAAAAACAAAGTATACAAATAATCAGATGTCCTCTTCACTGTCAACTGTGATTGTCATCAGTTGTATAAGTAACGGTATCTTACTGCTAAAAAATTTCTTGCACAAATGCAAGGAAGCAAGTCTCTCTTTGTCCGCTGTGTGCTAGTAGCAATGAGTATTAGGAGGGTATTTAGGGAGATTTGCACTTAGCCTCTGAATAAATATAATTTTGATAGTTACATAATCCATTTAAGTTTAAAAGGAGTGCCAGTGAGATGAGAGACTAATAACATCTGCATTGGGGCTACACATGCTGGGGTCATTACCAATTAAAAGTCACATCACACAACCATCAGATAACTGTACAAGTGACAGGCATATTTATTGGACCTCATGTCAAGCCCTGTCCCATCTCCATGGAGTTTGACCAGAGTGCTGTTGTCATCACCTCATATGGGCCAGTCAAACCTGAAAGAAAACTTCCATGGAAGTGAAAAGACCAGCATCTGACTTATGCTTGAAGATATTCTGTGCATTTCTATTCCAGAGCGTAATACAAACATTGTTTGTATAAACTGCATCAGTGTGGTGACAAGTGAACCAGCTGAGGTCACCCTTCGAAACAACGTCAAGTGTGTTGTACAAAAGGCGTAGAATCACAGTTTCTAAAAGACTATGGCCTTGTACAACACAATAGAGTTTGACACCATAATCCTATACCAGGAATTAAAAGAAATAGTTACAATTATAACCTTAATCACAGTCACAATGGTGCTGCCATGGACCCATGTCAGTTGTTTGATCCGCATTCTAGAGGTGGTTCTTTTAGGTGGATATCAACGGGACAGTAGGTTTCACCTCTGTAAGAATCACCACATTCACAGTTAATTTTTGTGGTGGATGGGTTACGGCCATTGGCTTGAAGGATGGTCCTAAATGTTGGAGAGCCAGAGAAGATGGTGTCGATGAGTGGTGGTCTGATTAATTGAAATAATCAAAGATTGGTCGTAATGACTAAACGACCAATCAATCGATCATGTTTTCTCATAATCGCAAACAAACAATTTTGGAACACTTGTTTGCATTAACAATATTTTTCACAAGGTTGGTTTTGTCTGTTATATGTCATAAGCACTACTAGATCATTCCAAGTCATGATTGCATTATGAAAAAAGTATGCTCCTAACATACTAGTCATCCTTTAAGATGTGAAATTTGTAAATGCATTTTGTGCAATTTGCAAAAACAACGAAAGAACTACATGCATTTTCTATATATTTTTTTGTGCATTAACAAACATAACCAGCAGAATTTGATAAATGACACTCACCAATTATTTTCGATGATTGATCGATTGTAATGAACCAGTCATCAATTGTGAGATTTTAACGAATTTCAAACACTTGTGTCAATGCCTGCTTGGTGCTTTAGAAGTCTGCTGATTTGATGGGAGGTCTTGCCAATTCTGATGGGGACAGCTTCAGACTTGGTCAGTTTGGGTTTGTTCTGGAGCATGGTCGAGATGGTCTTCTTGATATAAGTACATCTAGGAAGGAGAGTTTGTTGTCGTTCTTTGTCTCCATAGTGAACTTGATTGAGGATGTTAGGTGTTGAGGCGCTGGAGTAGTGGGGCGGGATCTTGGTCTTTCATGAGGATGACAAAGGTGTCATCCAGCTGGCTATACTAGCACACAGGTTGGATAGGGGAGGAGGCCAGGCTTGCTTCTTCAAAATGGGTCATGTAGATTTCAGTAAGGATAGGGGATCCCATGGGGAGGCCGTGGATCTGTTTGAAAATGTTGTCTCCGCAGGTGAAGTAGGTGTACGTTATGCATGATTTAGTGAGGCTGATAATGGAGTCTATGGAAAGTTTGGTGTTGACATTTGTGAAGAGGTCAACAACATCGTAGTTAATGATCTGGTCAGGTTCAGTTCTGCTGGTTATCTTTTGGCAGAAGTCTGTGGAGTCTGTGATGTAGGATTTCGTTGTTTTACCAAGAGGGGAGAGTATTTTGGTGAGGTGCTTGGCAGTGTTGTAGAAGAAGGGTCATCCTCGAGGTCTTTCATGGCTTGTTTCTCGGCTCGGATGAAGTTAGGTGTGTAACTAGGGGCTTTTTGAAGCATGTATCTGATCTGATCTGATGGCATAAGTAATCAATCGTGCCTCCTGGGGTAACTTGCTGGAGACCTTTCTCAATGTTACTGACGAGGATTTCAATGTTGCTGTGGTTTGGAGGGTACATAAGTGAGACGTTGATTTTATTTTTGGTGGTAATCTTGCTGCTGATGTTGATGACTGTCTTCTTGATGTACTGGTCCTGGGTGACACTGGGGTCACATATCTTAGAGTTTGATCTTTTATTGTCCTGAAGTTGATGCAGCTTGTTGAAATGGATAGTTTTGGTTTTGGAGTCCAATTTGTTGTTGGCTTGGTTCTGGGCAGTCAATGGTTTTTGCAGTGATGCCTGACCCTTTCAGTGACAAGCTTTTTGGATGCAGTCTGGAGGATGGCTTGAGCAGGTACTGAGTTAACTTGAGAGTGGTTCTCAGACCATTAGGGATGACCTTGAGAATTCTGCATTGCATGAGGAAGGGGAAGTGGTTGCTGGACTGGATGTACTTCTTCTCAAGTCGATTGAGGTTGTTGATGGTGTTGATAACCACTTCACCATGTAGACGTCTTACTAACTGTTTGATCAGCATTGTACCAAGAAAAGGTATCATGTTGACAGACTGTATCCATTACTATCCACACCTAGAAACAATATCCTATACATCTAAACAGGGTTTTACACAGACTTTGAAAAATGGGAGTCATGGTGACTCACAGTATTTATTTTAGGAAGTCATTTTCATTATTTGGGAGTCATTAAAATTTTAGTGTAATATTTCTTTGTGTGAATCAAAAAGCCTGCCCTTCTACATTTTTGACAGATGTGCTGAAATGCTGTTGCATTTCGTGAATTTTAACTGCTTCAATGTGATCTTTAGAAGTTTGATGTCTCATGTCGACTTCTGAATATTTTGACAACCAAATGTAAAGGTGTTCGATTTATTTTTTGCCCGAATGCACATATCTGAGGTCATGACTTTGCATCTGGTTTTAGTGCTCATCATTAGAAACGTCAGGAGATTTGTTTTTCTTGCTTTCATTACCGAAAAAAGAGTCAAGCGACCACTGTTTCTTAGCAGGACAGACAATGCTTAAATGACCAAAACATAGTCTAAACATAGCGAATGACGTATTCAACTGCTATTTACTGTCTGAAAATTGTGAATGACATACTCAAATGCTATTGGCGGGTATTTTACTGCATTCTGGCATGGCTCTATTTTTAGCCATTCGGTGTTCCGTACTTTCTGTTAATATCATGAGTGTTTTCAACACAATTTGCAATATAACGAAAGCTCTCATGGGATTTGCTTATCAAAACGAATTTATTGAACTGAATTCTGAGGGTCACTCATAAAACTTGCGTCAAGCTTGACTCATATGATAATATTTTGAGAGTCTTTTCGAAAATACGCAGGAATCACGCGTCATGTAAAACCC